AAAAACCACATGATAATCTCCCTAGATGCTGAAAAAGCATTTGACAAAATCCAACATCCATTCATGTTTAAAGTACTGGAGAGATCAGGGATACAAGGCACATATCTAAACATAGTAAAGGCGATTTACAGCAAGCCTATAGCCAACATCAAACTGAACAGAGAGAAACTTTAAGCAATCCCACTGAAATCAGGGACAAGACAAGGCTGCCCACTGTCTCCATATCTCTTCAACATAGTGCTGGAAGTCCTTGCTAGAGCAATAAGACAGTTGAAGGAGATCAAGGGGATACAGATGGGTGGGAAAGGAAGAAGTCAAATTATCACTATTTGCAGATGATATGATAGTATATATGAGTGACCCCAAAAACTCTACCAGGGAACTCCTACAGCTGATAAACACCTTCAGCAAAGTGGCTGGATACAAAATTAACTCAAAAAAAATCAGTAGCACTCCTGTATACAAAAGACAAAAGGGCTGAGAAAGAAATTAGAGAAACAACACCATTCACAATAGCCACAAATGACATAAAGTACCTTGGTGTAACCCTAACCAAGGAAGTCAAAGACTTGTATGAAAAAAATTTCAAGTCTCTGAAGAAAGAATTAGAGGAAGATATGAGAAGATGGAAAGATCTCTCATGCTCATGGCTTGGCAGGATTAACATAGTAAAAATGGCCATCTTACCAAAAGCAATCTACAGATTTAATGCAATTCCCATCAAATTGCCAACACAATTCTTTACTGACCTGGAAAGAAAAATTCTCAACTTCGTATGGAATAACAAGAAACCGAGAATTGCTAAAACAATCCTCTATAATAAAAGATCTTCTGGAGGTATCTCCATCCCTGATCTCAAGCTGTACTATAGAGCAACAGTTATAAAAACTGCATGGTACTGGCATAGAAACAGAATGGTGGATCAATGGAATCGAACAGAAGACCCAGAAATAAACCCACACACTTACGGACACCTGATTTTTGACAAAGATGCCAAAACCATACAATGGAAAAAAGATAGCATCTTCAACAAATGGTGCTGGTCCAACTGGATGTCTACATGTAGAAAAATGAAAATAGATCCATACTTATCACCCTGCACAAAACTGAAGTCCAAGTGGATCAAAGACCTCAACATAAAACCAGACACATTAAATCGGCTAGAAAAAAAAAGTGGGGAATACCCTAGAACTCATTGGTACAGGAGAAAACTTCCTGAACAGAACACCAACAGCACAGGCTCTAAGAGCAACAATCAATAAATGGGACCTCATGAAATTGAAAAGCTTCTGTAAAGCAAAGGACACCGTCATCAAAACAAAGCGACTGCCTACAGATTGGGAAAGAATCATCACCAACCCTTTATCTGACAGAGGACTCATATCCAATATATATAAAGAACTAAACAAGCTGAAAAGCAACAAACCAAGTAATCCACTTAAAAAATGGGGAACAGAGCTAAAGAGAGAATTCTCTGTAGAGGAATATCGAATGGCAGAGAAGCACTTAAAGAATGCGCAACCTCATTAGCCATTAGGGAAATGCAAATCAAAACAACCCTGAGATTTCACCTTACACCCATCAGAATGGCCAAGATGAAAAACTCAAGGGACAACACATGCTGGAGAGGTTGTGGAGAAAGGGGAACCCTTTTCCACTGCTGGTGGGAATGTAAACTGGTACAACCACTCTGGAAATCAATCTGGCACTTTCTCAGACAACTAGGAATAGCGCTTCCTCAAGATCCAGCCATACCACTCCTAGACATATACCCAAAAGAGGCGCAAGTACACAAAAAGGACATTTGCTCCACCATGTTTGTAGAAGCTTTATTTGTAATAGCCAGAAGCTGGAAACAACCCAGATGCCCCTCAACTGAAGAATGGATGCAGAAACTGTGGTACATCTATACAATGGAGTATTACTCAGCAATGAAAAATAAGGAAATCATGAAATTTGCAGGTAAATGGTGGGACCTGGAAAGGATCATCGTGAGTGAGTTGTCCCAGAAGCAAAAAGATACGCATGGTATATACTCACTCATATAAACATACAACATAGAATAAACCCACTAAAATCTGTACATCTAAACAAACTAAGCAAAAGAGAGGACCCTAACTAAAATGTTCAATCCCCATCCTGAAAGGCAAAGAGGATGGACATCAGAAGAAAAAGAAAATAGGAAACAACCTCGGAACCTGCTACAGAGGGCCTCTGAAAGCCAGAAGAAAACAGGAAACAACCTTGAAACCTGCCACAGAGGGCCTCTGAAAGCTTCTGCAGTATAGACTGTCAAAGCAGATGCTGAGCCTGATGGCCAACTGATGGGCAGAGTGAATGGAATTTTATGTAAGAAGTGGGAAATAGTAAGAGCTGGAGGGGACGGGAACTCCACAAGGAGAGCAACAGAACAAGATAATTTGAACACAGGGAACTTCCCAGAGACTCATACTCCAACCAAGGACTATTCGTGGAGATGACCTGGAACCCCTGCACAGGTGTAGCCCATGGCAGTTCAGTGTCCAAGTGGGTTACATAGTAATGGGAAGAGGGACTGCCTCTGACATAATCTGATTGGCCTGCTCGTTGATCACTTCCCCCTGAGGGGGGAGCAGCCTTATCAGGCCACAGTAGAGGACAATGCAGCCACTTTTGATGAGAACTGATAGACTAAGATCAGAAAGGAGAGGAAAACCTCCCCTATCAGTGGACTTGGGGAGTGGCATGCATGCAGAAAGGGGAGGTATGGTGGAATCGGGAATGGAGGAGGGAGGAGCTTATGGGGGGATACAAAATGAATAAAGTGTAATTAATAAAAAATTTAAAAAAAAGACACATGTGGGTTTTCTTTCGAACTTGTGACACAGCTGTGTAGACTCAGCCCAGATTTCCTTCCCTTAAATCTCAGCCCTTTCCTCTGCCTTTCAAGGCCCAATTTATCCCATTTCTAAGCTCCATGTTCTGTTTGTGGTGTCTTCTCATACCAGCTCTTGGGGACCACCACTTAGGATAGAGGGAATCGGGATGATGCAACAACAGCTATCCTAGTTATAACTATCACCTTTTTCGTTCCAGGTGACACTGGTACATATTCCTACAGTAGAGAGTTGTTAGAATATCTGGTTGAGTATAGTGCCAGGAACTGATATGAGTTTTTCTTAGCTGTGTTGAACATGCCAATCATCAAGAAAGGCCAGGTCTACTCTGATTGGCCATGTCCTACATTTTTCTAGCTTGGTACATATGCCCTTTACTGTCTCCTGTGTGGACTGTCTCCTGAGTATGAATTTCTTTTATTCTGCTGACTCCCAGCACATCCCTAAGTCCCTGATAAATCACACTTTTTGTACCTGACTTCTTTTTTTTTTGGTTTCCTCAGAAGTTCTTACTTGATAGGATTTGGAGACAGAAGGCAAGATGCTGCTTCTCCTAGAAAATGCTGTGAATTCTGAGATACAAGAGAAGCCCTCATGCTCTTCTGGGGTTTTTTTTACAGATCACTCTCGCCAATTTAGCAAGGACTTGCCAGTGCAATCTACTGCCTATTAAGCCTCTTCTTTAACTATGATGTTAATGGGTAAAGTTCAGAGTTTGATTTTTTCACTACGATTTAGAATACCACTTTTCAATATTGGACATCTTTCTATTACAACGTGTAGAACACAATTTTCAGTGATTTGATGCACCTAGTGTTTGGATTTGCTTATGAAGAAGAAAGTTTTCATCATATCCTTGGCTTGGGACTGTAGTAACAGCATGTTGTTCGAAGTGCTTTGGTCTTGATTTTCCCATACTTCAAAACTTGATTCTGTCCCCCCTTCCTCCCTCCCACCTTCCCTCTCCCATTTCTGTCTCTTCTCTTATATCTATCTCTCTCCCCCTCCTTCCCTCCCTTTTTCTCTTCATGTTTTCTTCCCTCTCTTCTTTTTCTATGAAATAATTTTTTGTGGGGATTTTAATTATACATTTGGACAAAGCACCAAGTTTGGCCATGCCTTCATCAAATACAATAGACATTATATATTCCCAAATAGAACTTAAACAGGAGAAAAGTTCACTTCATCCTTAGAAATGTTTGCTTCTAAAGTTGAAGAAATTGAAGCAGGAAAATATTTTGGAGACTAAGTTGGATCCTGAGTGAGCGAAGACTCATGGTAGAGATTCATTTGTTTTGGAGAACTCAAAGCTGGCTACATGAGAGAGAGGCCATTTCACTGTAGCATTTCAGTAACATCTTTGTCTTACAAGGACACTGCAGTTTCTGCACTGAGTCACTCTCTATTGTGGTTTAGTTAGGTGATTCCACACATGTTAAAGACTGTCTTAAAGTGGGCTTTAAGACGTGGGATCTTTAAGATGTGGAAAATCTTAGACCACTGAGGTTTTACCATCAAAGAAGGCTGTAGGACACCTGTCTTTTCTTCTTTGCCATGGGTTTCTGGCTGTCATGAGTTTTTTTCCTTTATGTTCCCATCATGATGTGCGGCTTCACCGTAGGCCTAGAACAACAGCTGGGTACCATGAACCAAGGCCTCTCAATCTATGAGCCAAAGTAAACCTTTCCTTTCTCAAAGCTGATGGCTTGCACGTATTTGCCACAGATATAGAAACCTGACCAATATATTTAGTTAGTAAGTTAGAAGCTAAAAGGTGTATTTTAACTTCTAGAGACTTAGTTGCCGTGGCTTTCAGCCTAGAAAGGCCTCCCAGGACAGTCCTGCTCTGTACCCAAAGAATGACAAATATTAGCTTACCTGAAGCCTCACATTTGTATTGCTCTGTATAATTTGTAAAGTGTTTGTTTTGTTAAAGCACATCATTTCATCTGTCTACATACGCTATTAAGTTTGCAGCTTACAGAAAGCGGGCTACGGTAAACACTAGTCAGTGGGATCATCTCCACCTAGTAAAGAAGAAAAGGCTGGTCAGAAGCATCGGTACTTGTCAGACTGTCATGATATTTGATCCCTTTACAATACTCAAACAAGGGCTCAAAAAGTCTACTGATACCTGTTGCATGGGAGCATCTTTTTGAACGCATCCCTGAGCTCTGGGCTCCGAAAGGCATATATAAAGGGGTCAATGACTGCATTGCACATGATCAACATGCCATTGACCTGGAAGAGAGACATGTAGCAAACACAGTAGGGGTTATTTGGACAGAAGGTCATTAAGAGGACATGGAGGATGAAGGGGGCCCAGCAAAAGATGAAGACCCCAAGAAGGATGGTCAGCGTCATGGCACCCTTCATGTTGGCTCTGGGAAGGGTAGAGATCTTCCTGGCATGGGAGCGGGCAAGTAAGAACATGTGAATGTAGAGACACAGGATGAAAACCAGCATCAAAGGGAACAGCGACGTGAAGGCGAGCACTGTGGGAATGCGGTGGGAGAAGATCACCATGGTGATGCCGCTCCCCGCGCAGAGCACCCAGATAACCGTTAGGGTGATGATAGTGCGGCGAATGGTCACGATGCTGTGGTACTGCAGGGCATGGAAGATGGTGATATAGCGGTCAGCAGCAATCACAGACAGGCTGAAGATGGAGCCCAGCAGAGAGAGGACGAACATGCAGTCAATGATGTCATCTGCGGTACTTTCAAAGGTGCCACGACTCTTGAGATAGCCCATGTTTCTGAACATGATCAGGATGTTTTCCAAGATCTTATACAGACTGCCCAACATGTCAGAAATGGCCAAACTGCAGATGAAAAAGTACATGGGAGACTGGAGATTTTTATTCTTGATCACAGCCAAGAGGACAATTAGGTTCTCCAAAACCCCAATAATGGAGATTGTGAAAAATATTTCTTCTGGCAAAACTACATCAGGGCAGTCTGAGTTATTTCTTGCCGTGTCATTGGCGTGCTCATACGGCTTGATAATATGCTTCATTTTTCCTGCTTGGGGTCAAGACTCGGATGGTGCTTGGACTTGGCTGTACAGAATCTTGATTTGTTCTTTGGAATGTTTTCTTTGTGTGGAAGGATCTGAGGTTAAGCAGAACACATAAAAACACACATTGCAGAAAGACTAAAAATATATAAAACAAAACAAAATAAAAAGCAAGCTGCATTAGCTTTAAGAAAACTATATTCCTTCCAAAAACCATATCATAGTGTGGTAATTCAAGTAAAACATTTTACCAAGACCTTGTATTAACCAACTTATGAGTAATATTTGCAGTGAAATTTTGAGCTGTGAGATAGTAATGAAAAATCATCCTTTGCTCTCTCTCTCTTCATTCCTTTTTACCCTTATGAATGTAGTTGTGTGTCTACATTAGAGTAGATTAGAGTGACTGCCAGGAAGCCCTTGGGTGAGAGAAGAATGAAAGGAAGAAGCTGTGTATGGAGAGAGAAGAAAGCAACAATTTTCTCCAACTTGAAGGTCATGATGGGGTCTGGGAACTGATGAGATTTTAGGCCCTTTCTTTTTCATCCCTTTATTTTTCAGGGCCACAATCTGACTGTGCAGTCTATGGGATAATGATGAAGGTTTTAGTGAGCCATTCTAAAAGATGACTGCAGAGTATATGTTATTGCTAAAACTTCAAAAGCTCTTAGGACCTGGGCTTGGTGATGTGCACCTGGAATCCAAACTACTCAAGACCACTGAACTCAAGATTTCAGCAGCAGCCTGAGCAGCATAAAGGGAATGTGTCTCAAAGCAAAATCAAGATCCAAAGATCGAGAAACAGAAAAGATGGAAGGATCTCTTTGTTGTTTGGAAACTCTGCAGATGTCTAATAATTTTCATAATACCTCTAGCTGTCCTCAAAACTAGGTTCTGTGCTTTTCAGGCTCCCCAGAATCTTTGCAAGGACAAGAACAGCTGTGGTGTGTAGAAATTCCTCCGTGATCTGGAGGCTTTTGTTTTATTGTTCTTCTGGAGACCAACTGGATCTCCTTGTACTGCGTGGCTGAGTGAGTTCTCTGATCAGGCCTTCAGATTCTGACCACTGGTAGTTGTGTCCCTGCATTTTACAGAGCCAGGGCAGGCTCTTGGGGGCAGGACTGAAGTGGCTTGTGCAGGCTGACAAATATGCCAGGCAAAACTGAGAGAAGGAGCATGTGTGCCTGTTGGGGTGGGGCTGGGGCTTTCTGAAATTCCCTGAGTGAACTAGGTGCTCTCTCAGCATTTTTTTTTTTTTTTTTTTTTTTTTTTTTTTTGTATTTAGTTGCTTATTATTAGAAATGAAACCACTGGCAGCTTTGAGGTGAGTCACAAAAACTACTACCCAGCTTGACTTCTAATTTGCATTACTTCTGTGTAACGCGTGGTATCAGTATTTTTAACGGATAGAGGACCTTAAATGAGGCTGCAAATTGCTCTCTATGGTAGCAAGCAGGGTAAACAGGCTGCTAGGTGGGCATGCTAACGCTGATGTTAAAGGCAGTGGCGTGGTTTTTCTACTATGGTCTCTTTGGCCACAATAAAGTCTAGAGAGATTTCCTGACTTGAAGCATTGCGATTTACCTATTTTACGGTCTCCTGTACTATTTATATTGAGCAGCTGATTTGCATACCTGGCTTAGAAGGGCCTTGGAGGCACCAAAATCAGGAGTGGTGCTGAGAACTCTCCCAATCATGCTCCCCTTCCCCCTGCCCCACCACGCCTTGTTTCCAAAGTTTGAAAAACAGGCTTGCTGGCTAAGGAACAGTTTTAAACAGAGTGAACAGAGTGGAAATTTTCAACATTTTTGTCGAGATTGTTGTTTCCTTTCTCGTTCTAAAATTAGATCTTTGAATTTCATATGGTGCCTTTTGATCATATTCACTCCCACTTCCCAACCTTCCCAGATTCTTCCCTTCTTTCATACCCACACAGCTTTGGGTCCTCTTCTTAACTAAAACCAAACCAAACCAAACCAAACCAAACCATACCAAACCAAACCAAACCAAACCAAACCAGACCAGCAAGCACAGTCTGTGCTTCCCAGGTGCTCTTAGAGATGTGGTCCTGTAATGGATCATGTGAACCTACTGTGGTCACGTCCTTAACGGAAACTAATCCCTCTCTCTCTCTCTCTCTCAGCAGTTATCAATTGCCAACACCCCTTCAACTAGGGGTAGCACTTAATGTGCAGCTTCCCTCTCCATACTTGGGTTTGGTCTGGCTTGAGTAGGTCTTATGAATGCTGTCATAACTACTATGAGTTCATCTGTGCAACTACTCTGCTATGTCTGAAAACAAACAAACAAACAACTATTCCCTTGCAATCAGCCGCTGCCTCTGGCATTTTCAGTCTTTCTGCTCCTTCTTTTGCCTTAAAATGGAGGGGTATAGTATAGACATCGCACACAGAGATGAACATTCCTCAGTTTCCCATTCTCTGCCTCTTAATCAGTGATAGGTCTCTGTGTGAATCCCCATCTACTGACAATAGAAGCTTCTCCCGTGAGAGTTGAGAGACATACTAATCTATGGGTGTAATAATAAGTCCTTAGGAGATGGTTTAATACCAGGCCCATTAGCAAAGTAACAGCAGTAGGTTCTCCCCTGAGTCTCAGCCATAGATTCTTGGCCTGCATAATGGTGCCAATGTGAATTTCAACAAGCCGGCTTTAGGCTTTACGTCTAATCAGAAAGTGGTTGGTTACTGCCGTGGCATTCATTCCAAGCCACTGATGCATTGGTGGGAATGTCCTGCCAGGCATGTACCTTGCAAAATTCACATCTGGGTGAGATTCATGATCATTTTCTCCTCTGGTAGCAGATGAGGCACCTTGCAGCACCATGAAAGCTCTCTGGTAGGGATGAAGCCTCCACATGAGCAGCATCGTGATCCCTCCATACTCCAATGATCTAATTATGTGGCATCTTCAGCAATAGGGTCCTATTGTCAAATTTAGAGCCTAGCCAACAGCAGTGGCAATAATTAGGATGTTTGGAGTTTTGTGAGGCCTTATTGCTCAATAGCTCTAAAAAAAGGCAATCCATTCCCGGCACTTCTTATTTGCTAGCGTGTGGTATCCAGTGGGGGCATTGTTGCCCCTTTATGAGGTAGTTCCATTTAATTTCTTTATATATGTGTTTGTATACATTAGTATATAAAATAAACAAAGACTTGAGAAAACTAAACATTAAGAAAACAAACAACCCAGTTAAAAAATGGAGCATGGTACTAAACAAACAGTTGTCAAAAGATGAAGTAAAAATGGCTGAAAAACATTTTTTTAAAATGTCAACATTGTTAGCTATCACAAAAATACAAAACTACATTGAGATTTTATATTACCCCAGTCAGAATGTCTAAGATCAAGCAAGCAAACTCCAAATGATGACAGATGCTGGTGTGAGTACGGAGAAAGGGAAACACTCATTCATCACTATAAAAACCAGTATAGAGTCTTCTATAAGCTGGAAATATATTTGCCATACAAATGAGCTATCCTACTCTTGGGCATATTTTCTGATGACTCTAAATCCCACTACAGACCCAGCTGCTCATCCAGATTTGTCATTGCTTTATTCACAACAGCAATGAAATGGAAATAGCCAAGATACCCATGAACTGATGAATGATCTTTAAATGGAGAACATACACACAGTAAAAAATTCAGCTGTTAAGAAAAACCAAAATTATGAAATTTATGGGTGTATAAATAGAGCTGGAGTCAATCATTCTAAGGTAACCCAGAACCACAGACTTTGCAGATTTTCTGTCATTTGCAGATTTTCACTTTGAATCTTCAGATATTATGTGTTCCATTCAGAATGTCAGGAGGTCAGGAGATTAATAAGGAACCATGAAGGGGATTTCAAGAGATGGGAGAGAGTGGCATATAGTGGCATATACACAGTGGCATTTAGGGAATAATGGAGCAAAAAAGGCTAAAAGAGTGGAAAATGGGAGGACAGAAGGAATGTGGGGAGGGGCTAATTAACCCTAAAGATGTTTTGAAAATGCTGTGTGGAACCTACTTCTGTAGACATTTCATAAAGTACATACATAAGCACATGTAGAAATTTAAAAAATTTTATATACATTTGATCCACCCTTGTGTAGAATCTGAGAAGGTTGATCTCAGGAGTAGTGGAAGAGTGGTTTAGGAAACAGGATGAAGAGAGCATTACAGGGCCATCTGTAATGGTTAGATAGAAGGCTATCTACCTAACCATTTAATTTTATGGTAAGGTGTCAACATATCAGTATTATCATAGTCAGTACTATATTTCAAAGGAGCCAGCAGAAAATACTTTGAATGTACTTGCAGCAAAGAAGTCACAAATATTTAGGCTGATATGCATGCTGATGACCCCAGTTTGAGCACTGAACACAACGTCTTGCCTCTATTGAATCATCACATTCTTTCCCGTAAACATGCCCAACTGCCATGTGTGAGTAAAAACTATTATGAAGAAGCTAAATTTAGAAACAACATAAAAATTAAATTTGCAGCTTGCACAATTAAGAAAATGTGCAAAATGATACTCTCTGAAGGGCTATTATTTTCCACGAGTATTTCTTGTTTCCAGAGTGAAATTTCATTTTTAAAATAACTGGGACACGAGGTTAAGGATGCAATCCAGTTAGTAAAGTATTTGCTTAGCAGGCTTAAAGTTGTGATTTTCCTCCCTAGCTCCACCTAAAGTGAGCCTGTGACACACAACTGTAATTCCCAGCAGTTGGAGGTGGAGCTAGGAGGATGTGAAGTTCAAGGCCATCCTTGCTACGTGGTGAGTATGAGGCCAGCGTGGCCACCTGAGGTCCTGTCTCAACATCACCAATGAATGCTTGGAGATGGAAGTAGGAGATTCACAAGTTTGATTCCAGCCTAGGTAATATAGTGAGTCCAAAGGTCACATGAAATACATTTTAAAACATGGACTCTATGAAATGTTCCAAAGATTACAACATTATTATATCAACAAAAGTTAGACATTACAT